CTGTGTGGTGAGAGCAGGCCGTGAGAAAATATGAGCAAGGCTGATTCAACAACCAATCACAGCAGACTTAACGTGGCAAAAAATGATTCGCAGATAGAGAACTCTATTTTTCGAGGAATCCCGAAACAACCAATCAAAAGCCTGCGTTTGTCTGCCTAACTTCTGATAAACGAACAATCAGATGACTGCGCTTGTCTACTTGCATAAGCTATAATAATGTATGTGAAATATGTATAAATACGTGTTGATTTTCATTATAAAACGGTCTGTTGCCTGGCCCTTGTCTTCTGTTGTTACACCTGTATTCCTCACTGAGACTTGACCTCAACACCCATCGTTTCAAAGTGACCTAGTGGATAACGCTTTGGCATTTGAAACGAGTGACACTTCGGTCGAGTTTCAGTGGGGATTCCATCAACTCATTAAGGAATACTGGTACACGCAGATGATGAGTCACAAATAGGACGAAATGCGAATCCTAGATTCCACTGCTAGACACCATCAATCAAACTACTAAATCATTCTTCTAGCTTTATTGATCTATCGGGTAGGACAATCACCAAATTTTCAAGCAGAGAGAAGAAAATAGCTTGGGAGAAAATAAGAACAAAGAAACTGGCTAACTTGCATTTTTTCACTTATCTACTTATTTATTTATTCATGAAATAGTTACTTTGTCTACTTTCCAACGAAAATAGGATTGAGATTAAATTCACTTGAGGTCGAGGTCAAGGTCAACTTCTAAAGTACACACACATAATTAGGAAGAAATTAAATACCAATTATGAATATAACAGAGGTCAGACTTAAGATGCGATTGAAAGTAGAAGGTATGTATAATCTGCTACCCCGAAAACCTCTCTCTGCTGTTGTACACAGTGTTTTCGTGCAATCTTAATGATAGGACAGCAAGTTAAATAAAATACGCTGAATTGCATGCAAACCATATCACAGAAAGAGAGATGATATCTCTGAATTATTTTTAAAAATGAATTTTACAGTTTACAATTGGTGGATGGTGGCTAGCAGTGGAATCCAGGATGCGCATTTCGTCCTATTTGGGACTCGTCAGCCAGTGGATGTACCTGCATTTCTCAGTGAGTGATGATGTTCCCACCGAGGCTCGAACCCAGTACCCATAGTTTCAAACGCCAAAGCGTTATCCACTAGACCACTTGGGCCACGAGAGCCACCTCTTGTGCAACGGGTCATATTAATTATTGAATTGAATTTTTGATTTTCCCGTCGATTGATTGGACCGAAGTGCTCGGTCTCAGGTTGACATGTCGGCTTCTTGTGCAGATGCTTCGACGATGTCTGGACATTTAATTAGTATACAATTGGTGGATGGTGGCTAGCAGTGGAATCCAGGATGCGCATTTCGTCCTATTTGGGACTCGTCAGCCAGTGGATGTACCTGCATTTCTCAGTGAGTGATGATGTTCCCACTGAGGCTCGAACCCAGTACCCATAGTTTCAAACGCCAAAGCGTTATCCACTAGACCACTTGGGCCACGAGAGCCACCTCTTGTGCAACGGGTCATATTAATTATTGAATTGAATTTTTGATTTTCCCGTCGATTGATCAAATTAAATTAAATACCCAGACATCGTCGAAGCATCTGCACAAGAAGCCGACATGTCAACCTGAGACCGAGCACTTCGGTCCAATCAATCGACGGGAAAATCAAAAATTCAATTCAAGAATTTTACAGTTCTCTGTAAAATATAAACTTCAAAACCACCCGTATTTTGCGTTGGGGAATAACAGATAAACTGAGCAATTTCGCCTCTTCTATGTGTATCTAGTAATTCAACTACTCCTGTGGAGCCAGTTGGGTATATAGGCCGTATAATTAGGCGTGTTTCTCATTGGATTTCCGAACATCAGCCTCTCCATAGTGGTTAAGAGTAAAGGACAAACAAAATCCATTCATAGCTCTATTCTATCTTATCTCGTGGAAAACAGAACACAAGATTGATGTTAACGAGGCGACTTTCAAAGTCATATACCGCATACCAAGTCTACTACATATTTCTGAGGCTGACTGTTGGGATCTACATTAAGAAACCTAACTTATGTATCCAAAAGAAGTTGGATGGTTCAGACATTATCCCTACTTCGACCAATTTTTTGTGGAAACTTCTTCAATTTTAGTTGATATTCTATTTGCTATTACATTTTTATGCTCATTATAATTTAGAAAATCAAAACAAGTGATTCAGCGAAGAGACTCTTTTCAACGAATTTATCATCATCATATATATATATATATATATATGGTTTTTAAGTAGTTATATCCGGTGAGGGATGTCTGTAGGTGAAGAGATGTTTTCATTATAATTTACGCATCTTAAGTGAACTGTAATTCCATTGTTATCTTGCTTAACAAATCGTTATTATTTAAAAAAACACCAATTCTGTTAATGACAGCTATTCTAGAATACTCTGTGTGTATAAACACATACGTAATTGTAGAGCCAGAAGAGGAAATCACCCAAAAGGATATTCTTTGCTAATTTTTTGGTTTTCCTAGATACAAACTTATTGAACAAATCGTTTCAATAGTAAGTAATGAGTATAACCACAATTTTGCGAAGCAGTTAAACACGAATCATCTTCAGAAAATCTGATGTTTTGTGATTTCCTCTTAAGTTTACAACAGAGTTGAGAGAGTACATCATATTCTGGTTTTGAGACAGTACAAAACATCAAAAAAAAAAAAAAAAATAGAATAGTGAGTAAGTGGTTCAAGAGTGAAAATATGGAAAACTTCGATGGTATCTACGCTGCTTCACACAGTAGTACAGCAGTTCAAATTACCACACATCATATAGCGAATAAAACAGAAGAGAAAAAGAAGAAATTCAAAAGAACTATAATGGGATCTAGGAGATTACAAATGAGTGAATACATCTGAGCCAGTAAGGATAATTTTGAGCCATCTCACCAAAAGTCTTACGCTTTTGGTTCTTAATGTTTCAAAGACCCTAAAACCAGGAAGTCCACACCTACCTCCCAAAGTGTCTCACATGCAGATCCTAACGTAAATACGGAATGGCAACTAATGGCTTTAGTCAACAAGATGTTATACATACTCTGTCAAATAAATCCCATAGAAATGGTAGTTTGCTCTTACTGTCCATTATTATTGTTTCCTCTAGTTCCTAGAGGAACATAGGGCTTCAGCCACACGTCTCCATTCAGTTTGGTTCTCCACCAACCTTTTCACCCTACTTCACATCTGCCCATATGCTTTTATCTCCTCTTCGAATCGCTTCCTACACGTCACCCTAACACTGACGACCAACTAGCCGCTTCCCATTCGGGTTCCACTCGAGAGCGATGGTCTGGCGTGTGATGTTACTCACTTTATGGTTTGTTTTATCAGAGTATAGCCAATCTATCCACCTACATTTCATCCTGCATAATTACTGCACAATTGATTTCTACTCGGTTGGTTCGCTCATTGTCAGAGATCCCTCCCTATTGTTGATATTTTCTGGCCGGCCATCTGATCCCGAGCGAACTATTGATTGACAACAACTGTTGATGATGGTGTGTAGTTCGTTCGAAGTGCTCTTCATAACGCGCCAAATGTCTGATCCGTATAGTAGCACTGACTGACTTCCCATTGCAGTTGAAATTCCGCATCTTTTTCTCATTTTAATGCTGAGGAGTGCTGTTGACCTCCACACAGACTTGAGAGTGATGATTCTGTCTATGATGTCAACGAATCTAACCTCAAAGCCATCAGTATATGTAAGAGTTGTTTGCTTAGCACTTCAGTAATCACCCTCATATTGATGCTGAGATAATGATAATATAAAAGATGTCAAGTAAGTTAGCATTTCTGATCATCAATGGTGTAAGAGGCAGCACAGATCAATAAAAAACCTCGAAAGTGAGAAGTAATCCGAAAATCACTATAAATAAACTGACTAAGAGCTAAAGTGCAGATGCGTATAAGAGATTTAATTCTATTTAGTTATTTATTGAAAACACAGACCTGGTACATTCTGGGGGCCAAGATATGCGCCACACAAAAATAATAAAACAACAATATATAAAGAAATTAGGGAAAGAATGAATGAAGCAGCAAGGAAACATACTTTTCAAGATTATTCAAAATCCACTACTTCATGTTACTTTCAGAAAGGGAGGAAAGGAAGACATTGCAGTATGCTTGCCATTGATTGCGATTCCTGATCATGTCTGATAACGTTTTAAGGCACTCATTCGAACTGTCTTTCGGACACCGACCAGGGAGTGGTGATGCACCAACAGATGCTAACATAATACAAATATCCTTCATCCTAAGGCGCCACATCATAGGCTGACCACATTCCAGCTTTTTCCATTTATTCTCAAGGCTGAAGGACAAAGACTGATACGAAAGCCTGCGGGATGAAATTTGCAGATCATGTCCGAGCCACCAAAGCCGGTGTTTTCAGATGAGAAGACTCAATGAATGGTGACCTCCACTGTCCCTAAATACACTCTCCCGGACCCCAAAATCATTCACACGAGGATGACCTCGGGTGCAAGCAATTTTTCTGAGACGGCGGTGGTAGGATACATAAAGTCGTCGCGCATCTTCAGCTGGAGAGGTCTAGTTTCATGGGCGTAGAGTAAGACTGTGCATACTGAAGTATTGTAAACTCAACCTTTGACAGCCAGGCTGACGTCGCCAGAGATGGCTCTTAATAGCCTATTTCCCTCCGGATTTTACTATACGATTAGAGATTTCATCGATCTCACCTCCGCCAGCACTCACAGAGCTATCCTAGATAGGCGAACTTGCAGACATATTCAAGCGATCCACCTACAACGGTGAGTGCGCAATTACAGGCTCCTGAAAATCTTTTGACAGTACACTGCACTTAGATGTTGCAAAGCATTTGCCATACCATAAGAGGTTTACTAACAAATTTTTAAAATATGTACAATATTATCGCATTATACCCCGTTGAAAAATGTGTCTACATCTGTAACTTACCTCCAAGAGTTGTTGGTGCCAATAGACATGTTTCAGATGCTTGACTTCCAGTTGTTAGACAAACAGTTAACAAACTATTTTTACCCTGAGAACCATTGATATCCTGAAGGAAGAAAGAGGTTTCCAAAATAAGAAAACAATTATGATATTCCCAAATTCTCACAAGTAAAATCTCATAATGATAATTAGTATTTTTTTCCTTCACGTTCCCAGTGGAACATAGGCCCTCAAACTAGCGGTTTGAAGTTTCTGTAGCAGTGTTTCATTTTTACAGGAAGGGGTTGCTAGTCTCATGACCAACCTTCCCTCTTTACCAGCATTATTTCTGGCTTAGTGAGGTAAAGGAGTGCGTCGGTGGCCGGGGATCGAACCCCGGACCATGTGCGTGGTCGGCGAGCGTCCTAACCGCTGTGTCACCGACGCCGATAATTAGTATAATTTCAGTTATTATTATTATTATTGTTAGATTTCGGTGCAAACCAACATCTCTTAGAGAAAGCACTGAAAACTGAGGAGCACTAAACAACAGTCGTGATCAGTGTGGGTTCGGTTGAACATGTCAAGGTGAAGTGGATGTTCAACAAGGGTATAGATGAAGGTTAAAATTCACAGATCACTGAATTCCAGCCCAAGTGGCCGAATGTTCAACGAGCTTGGCCTCATAACCTGAATGTCCCCAGGGGTTCAATTCCTAGTGGGTCTTTGGTGCACGCTACTGAATACTCCAGACATAGGACGAAATAGATGTTCAGTACTCCCTGGTTTTTATCGATCTCTGCAACTGGTGCTGTGGTTCATGACGAAATCTAACAATTAAAATTAACATGATCAACACCCTCACAAACCCGTAATCCAGATAATTAGTATCATGAAACCGTCAAGAGTGATGTATGATAAATACTGATGTGTACGGGACATATACAGTTAAGAGAAGCAATTCTAATTACCACCTGGTTTTATTTGTATTTTTTTCCTTTAAAACGTTAAACTCATAAACAAAACACTTTTAAAGAAAATATTGAAATGTTAGGAATCTCAAGAGAAATCAATCGCCTCAAGGAAATTCGTGGATTTAGTCAGTACTAATATTGCCATACCATAATTAACCTGCTTGAGTCGGTGGTTAAACGGTTAAATACTTGCCAAGTATGCATTTGCTCCGGGGTTCGATTCCCAGCCGATGAACTACAAAACCTCTCTACGCCGGTGTCGTGATCCCAGAAAAGAAGAAAGGTTGTGGCCGAGGTGGGGTCTATGAGGTTAATAACCCCACCCCGTAAAAAAAATCACTACTACCGAAAAATTCAAGGGTGAGGCTTGAAGCCCTATGTTCCGCGGGGAACGTGAATAAATAAAATATTAATGATAAGTAACAATTAATCTGACAAGAAAATCTAACCCTGGAGTAATAACCACTACCCACCTAGCAGAATACACAGGAATATCTGTACTCCATGTAGACCAAGTATACTGGAAAGATATCAAGTTATGATGTCTAATTCCAGCTGGACAGCTTGATGGTGTGCCATTTTTTTCAGCAAAACTTTCCGAAGTCATTCTCTAATTTGTGCTCAGACTGAACGATGACAATTAATAATATAGCCTACGGGACTTAACACCAAAACAGTTGTCTATACCTACACCGCCATATAACCAATGAAGTATCATAAGTTTTTCACACACTAGACAAAAAGTCCCTAACATTAAAGCCATCAAAATTTGTCTAAGTACCTAGCCAGAATCCTCGTGATTGGGACTGATTCATTTGGCTCTCTAAGCTGAGGTCAAACCGAGTACACCACAGCTGATGAAGTCGTCTCGAAATGAGTGAAACGTTCATCAAGTGTACTTGTCTAACTCTCAACTGGCTAACAAGCACCACTGTTTGACATAGACGCTTTCACTACTACTCATATGAATCAGTAGTAAATGCCACTAAAGTAATTCCATATTAGTTTGTTTATTAGATGTATCACACAATCAGTGAAACAGCATTACTTACTGGATGACACAGTTTCGAACAAAATTTATTATTCTTCATAATCATACCAATTGTAATCACACTACTTCGAAACTTGAGTTTTATAGCTTTCTTTGTCTTCTCATATTTGTCGTAGGAGTAGCAGAATTTCCCAGATATCTGAGTGGACAGGTGTTGAATCATTCCTATGACATGTATTTGCAGTTGATTCGATAAACAAAGCTTCTGTTACCAATCTCTCTCTCCAGCCTGTCGTTACATTAGATTTTGAAACTGTCATCTTATCCCATCCATCCTATTGTATGGTTGTGTGTAACTGCATGTAGTGCTATAGCTGAACTATTCTCTAGATCTCTTATTTTATTTGGCTCAACCAATCTAGATTTCGCTGCTAAGTTTTTATGTTCGGCTAGTCTCACTGAATGTCCCTGTTGTACTAGTTTGACCTATGTATTTGACCTGATAATCATTGCAGGCAGGGGATTAGATAAACCAAATTGTTTTCTTTTAAAGGCTCCACAGGCAGAATCATGTTTTAGTCAACAAAGCTTGTTTCTAATTGAGTTTGTGGTCGGTTTGAATGCCAGCTACTTTTATTCCTGACTTGTTGAGAATTCTTCGTAAGGTTTCTGAGGTTCCTTCCTTCTATGAAATTACTACTTATGATTTGGATTCCCTATTGTTGGTGTCGTCATTTTTTTTATTTTCCCGCACGTTCCCAGTGGAACATAGGGCTCCAAGCTAGATGCTTGAAGTTTCTGTAGCAGTGGTGATTATTTTTACAGAATGGGGTTGCTAGCCTCATGTCAAACCTTTCCTCTTCACCAGTCTCACTACTGGCTTAGCCGGGTAAAGAAGTGCGCCGGCCGGGGATCGAACCCTGGACCATGTGCATGGTCGGCGAGCGTCCTAACCGCTATGCCACCGACGCACCGGTGTCGTCATAAATATTATTATTATCACTATTATCATTGTTATCATTATTATTATTGGTAACAGGATTCCATCATGAGCTGAAATTGATTAGAGAACCATTGGAAAACCTGGGAGTACTGAACAGCTGTTTCGTCCTAGTTTGGGACTCTTCATCAGTACGCACCTACCGGGATTCGAACCCAGGACCTTCCGGTTAAAAGGCCAGCAAGCTCGTAAACCAATAAGCCACTGGGACCCGATCCAATGACCCATGAATTCTAACTTCTACCAATTCACGATATAGCGCAACCGCTAGCCAATGTCTTCGGGGAGTATTTGTCCTTACACCCGACCTGCTGCATCCTACTGGTCACGACTTTCCACTGGAACCCCAGGTAACTACCTACCTGAATAGGGCCAGTCAACTGTAACCAATCAACCAAATCCCTACAAACCAATACTGGAATTATTATTATTATCACTATCGCTACTGTCATTATTTATTTTATTTTTACATTTCCTGACTAATTTATCAGGGTAATTATTAAGTTTCAAGACTTCTTTTATGTGTATCACTTCTTGTCTTAGATTTTCCCTGATACTACTTAGTTTTTGTGCTCTGTCTTTTAAACATTTCACCTATCCTATTTTTACTGACATAGGATGGGACGATCGGAAGTCCAAATGTCTGTTCGAAACTGTGTCATCCAGTGAATAATACTATTTCACTGACTGTGTGATACATCTAATAAACGAACTAATATGGAATTACTTACTACCAGAGTACCCAAGTTTTACACATATATTAATACCATCACAAAGTAGTCTTATCAATGACAAGTCAGTATGAAAACAACCGACGTTTATAATACAACAAAAACGACTTTGTAGAATGGACTTAAAGTGTGGCGAACACGCATACAAACACAAACACACACACACAAACATTAAACAATGAGAGACACAATTATAACTATCATTATTCAAAACGAGTCATTTTGCGTTAGATATGTTCTTTTTTTTCACCCTCTATACAGACGAGAGGAAAGGCGTAAATAAACACGTTCATCAGTAATACCTCGATCCAATAACTAGGCTAAGGCGTATACACATCTCTGATTGGTGGAAAATTCTTTTATTCAATGCTAGTAGTTATAGTGATGTGGAACAGTATGGGCAACTAAAACTTAGAATTAAATAACAAGTATTATATAATTATTGGGAGAATATGGAGTATTGAGTAGTTGAATCGTTAGCTCCACATGCTCCACATGTACAAGGTAAATTAAGTATTTAACTCGCGTTTAAACAGCATAAATATAACTGACAGTAAGTAGAAAATACAGCAAAATACGCCATATTAATCGAATAGTTAAATAGTGAGTGTTTCACTGCAGAGAATATATATACATAGTTTGATGTATTTGTGCATTTAAGGTAGAAAGAATTGGTAACAAGAAACTCTAACTGGGAACAAACCAACAGGCAAGAGCCGATTACTCAACAAATTTGTAGGAGAAAATGGAGATGGACTAATCGGGCATACATTGAGGAGGAGGCCGTCGAATGACATCGCGCGAAATTCAGGCCATCGCTGGAGTGAAACCCTAATGGGAAGCGACGAGTGGGTCGTCGGTACGAGGGTGACATTGAAGAGGTCGTGTGAGGGAGAGACGAAGGAGAGAGAGAGTTTGGGCAATCGTGGACCCAGCTGAAGGGGGTGATAGAAAAAGGAACTAAGTGGAGATGTGTTGTTGAAGCCCTATGTTTCACACGGAACCCAAAGGAACAACAACAACAACACCAGTATACATCAAAAATCAACCCACACAGGCCAAATACTCGACTACAACAACAACAACAACAACAACAGCAATTATCCAACAGAACACGAGAGAAACTGTATACAAAGATTATTCAGAACAGTTAAAAGACATTGAAGCATCCCAGTCCTCAGGAGAGCAGAAGAAATGGTACAATTACGTCAACAACAAAATATGTCTAAATTCGAATCAAACTACCACCAGAAAGAAACCATCCTCCGAAGTTATGAGGAAATCCATCCTACCATATATATAAAGAATGTTACTGAAATTAATGGAATTCGGAATAGATGTTGCACACAAACCAACAAGCGATCAACATCATCAACAACAAAAAATTGTATGGACTTTGATAAGCACTACACTGATCAACTCTTGGTCTGAAAACATAGACTAAGTGTTGAAAAAGACACAACATATATTTCTTCATACTGATGTATCTAAACAACTGTGGACATCGATTTGACTGAGGAAAATGTAGAGATTGTAGACAGTAGAAACACCGAAAATGCCAGAGGATTCCCAGAAGCCTGTTACTCAAGCGGATGATCAACGACCAACAGACTCACACATTATAGTAGATCAAATTTATCAACTATTAAAGAACAAGCCACATTACGAAAGAATCGAATTGCAGATCAATAAAAATGATCAATAATACTGCTGCAAACCAACAACCAATCACAATGTAGATTATCAAGCGATACAATTATATCTATCATTCACGTGGAGATTTCAAATAATTTCACTTCATATTGAAGTTTGTGCTAATGAATTTGTCTAAAAGGACGATAATGAAATCTTCGCAATTGAACTACCCAGCTCAGTAAAAACGCAACCTGATGAAAAACAGCAGACGCTAGTTATTGAAGCTAGTGCAAAGATAGATTTTTTAACCTCATCGTAAAGGAACTGAATGTGACTATTTGAGAACACATAGTTCGTCCGTATTAATGAAGGGAAGGGATCATGTGAAGACGAAATGAAAGCCTCTGGGAGACTCTGGACACAGTTAAAGATGACGGTAGAGAAAAGGGTACAATAACGATGTAATTCTTTTAGCCATATGTTCCACAATAATGATAGTAGTAAGTTAAGGATGTATACGAAGTAATAAAACCTCGTATTTAATAGCAATGGTTCAGAGTAAGACGGCCGCCAGCTACGCGCGTGCATGCTGCCCAGGTTCGATTTCCGTCCGACCGACGTCCTCATAAACCTCACCTAGCTGATAGTAGGCCAGGAGAAGAGAAAATGTTGCGCTTAAGGGCAGCAATCCCACTCCATAAAGACACCACCTGTGCTTCTGAAATTTGAAAGCTTAGAGCTTGAAGCCCTGTATTCCCCCACACTCTGAACTCAAAGGATTTTATTAATGTTCAATCGTAATTAAATCAGAATGCTTCATATGAATACAAACGCTCAAAATAACAACAGCACTCTATCTATCTATCTCTCTGTCTTACCTGAGATCCAACTTTGCTTCTGCAATTTTCGTCTTTACCCAAAAGTAAATCATTTATATCCAAAGAAATCTGAAAAATTATATTCAAAAAAACAAAACAAATACTAATATATATATATATATAAATGATCGTTATATAGACTAAGGATAGTTAAAGCTAGCAAGGTACTACTACACCTAGACGACACTAATAGAAGTCAAGCGAGAGACAGAAAGGGATTCTATATGGGTAATAGAATTCCGATACATGAATTAGTATTTACCCTTTTACATGAATATTAATAATCTGACACTTTCTAGTGATATCCTCAATAGAATTCGATGCGTAGAAGTGAATAGTTGCCGTTGTCGTATCTTTCGTTCATCACGAATGCATACTAACTTTATAAAGAAGAGAACACTGTGGTTCCTTGAGTAGATTGATTCACTTTATACAGTACAGAATGATATAGTATTAATCACAGATGACGTTTCTAACACAATGATGTCAATTGAACACATAACCTTTTCCTTAATGTTCAAGATGTCTAGCATTTCTGTAAGACCAAATGAACTTTTTACAGAATGATTTGATAATGAATCTCTTACAGGCGTAAAGACCTCTGTAATCCGTTTTGCGATTTTATGGTATGGAGAATTCGACATGTCTAAAATGGGTCTCAGTGGGTTCCCAGTATTGTGGATCTTCGGAAGGCTATAAATCCGGAGAGTATGTGACCCAATTGCTTTAAGTTGTTTATAAAGTCTATATTTATAAAACCATGCATCAGTAAAATCTGAAGCTGACGATTGATTTGCTTTTCCACAAGCAGCACATTATCAGTAGCATTGTCCACCAAAAATTTGGACTGATCTCTGAGGATATCATTCATTTTATTTTGATAATTTGATTTATTCATGATGAAAAATTTCTGGTGGACAATGCTACTGATAATGTGCTGCTTGTGGAAAAGCAAATCAATCGTCAGCTTCAGATTTTACTGATGCATGGTTTTATAAATATAGACTTTATAAACAACTTAAAGCAATTGGGTCACATACTCTCCGGATTTATAGCCTTCCGAAGATCCACAATACTGGGAAACCACTGAGATCCATCTTAGACATGTCGAATTCTCCATACCATAAAATCGCAAAACGGATTACAGAGGTCTTTACGCCTGTAAGAGATTCATTATCAAATCATTCTGTAAAAAGTTCATTCGATCTGACAGATATGCTAGACACAATGATGTCGTTCAAAATCATATGAAGTTAACAAGATTAGCAACGGGTGGAGCTGTGGCTTATTGATCGAGACACTCGACTTCTGTTTGCCAAGATTTAGGCAGCCAGATGGATAGTTTATTGTTAACTGCATGGAAGTGCAAATGATTGTTGACCTTTAGTTAGCTGTAGAAAGGTGTGCATGAAACGTCACCAGTAAATAATACTCTGTATCACTGTGTTCTATAGCAAGTGTGAACTGACTTCGTATTAAATTCAAAGACACGTTTTTGGAACGAGAGTGTCTACACATCCACGATTGAGTATGTTAGGCAATATAATGCCTTTCAGGCTATTCAAAAGATTACTGAAATCTATGAACTAGATACTTCTTTGCATACATTAATTGCACTTAATCAATTTGAATAAAGCAAGAACAACAGTGATTTTCGCAGAATAATATAGTACCATCATTGTTTATTTCGTTGGTTTCTCATCAGCTGCTTACAGGCCAAAGACATTATTAAGTTTATTGAACAGGAGAAAATTTCAATATACTTACACAGAGTTCAATTTTGAGCAAAAAATCAATATATGCATACAATAACAATATATATAATAATAAACACTTTATCCCGATTAATAATGATCACACACACAATGGGAACTTTCGGTATCACGTAATTAGATGAAATAGAGGATGAAAATATCCTGTTAACAGGGCAAGGAAAGACTGATAACCACTTGTTTCTAAATGCATAAATTGGGTTTCAGGCGGTTGATGGAGACTGCTTTGGCAAACTTAAGGAGAGGTGAACTTTTTTGCCTGTTGATAATTATGAACGATCTTGCGACATCCACCTCATAACCCGTGTCAAGGAGATGCCTGGCGATGGCGCCGTTTAAAGCATTTGTTCCCTTTAGATATAGAGCTTTTTGGTACATGTTCAGAAAATTGGAGGTATGCCTTTCTCTCTGTTTTTCCAATGTAACTGCTCCCACAGATACACGTAAATTCGTACGTACAGTTGGAGTCAACATGGGAAGGATATCTATCGATTTTTGGTTGCACCAAACAGCAAGTTGTACGATAGACGGGAACTAGCTTAGCTTCAGGATAGGCTCTACCTAATGATGTCTTTAATCTTCTGTTGACAACTGCTGTAATATTTGCAACTTTATAATCAAGTTTAATGAAGACAGGCTTTTTCTTTCCACTGTGATTTGCTTGACATTTGAGCCTTCAGATCTTCTGTTCTTGTTAATGAACCTTTGAGGGTAAACACTGTTTTTTAACATCTTTTCGAGAAACATAATCTCTTACTCTCATTACTCCATAGAGCACAAGTAAGTATATTAAAATTGTTTTTGTTCATAAACTTAATAATGTCTTTGGCCTGTAAGCAGCTGATGAGAAGCCAACAAAATAAACAATGATGGTACCATTTTATTCTGCAAAAATCGCTGTTGTTCTTCCTTTATTCAAATAATTTTTCTTTAATAGACTGATTAGTGATTAGACTAGTGAAATTTCATTTCAAACTGCTTCTACAAATAAGATGACCGTTTTCTTTACTCTGCTGGTTATTGTTAGTTAACATACTTCTAAATTCATGTCTAAAGATGATAAAAATGCAAATAGTTTGAATTACCTCATCTCAATGACCATTAATCCAATTATACTTCACTCGCTTTCTCTCTCAATATTCGAACCTTTTAATTTCATCTTTCCCATACTATTTTTCCCATGAAACAATGTTTTTTCTAAGGTTGCGTTCTGGCCTAACTGCAGGAAAACTAGGCGACATTTAAACCTATAAAAATTACATTTACTTGCTACCTTTGGGGTCAATCAATCACTCAATCATACATTAATCAAGTGACAGGTAAAAATGACACAAAAGTGTAACTCTCAACACAGAGTTAAATATAACTGTTAACAGAGAATGATGAAATAGCTATCCAAAGACTGTCTAACAGAAAACTAATTTAAGTGGGAAACATCACCATTATACCATGAGTTGATGTATGACATACTGAAGAAATGTACAAATAATAATCGGCCATCACTATCTACAGTTGATATTTTAAAAATTTTCCTTTTACTTTGAAGTTTTCGTAGTAGTTTGATTGATTGCCGGGGGTCGGCGTTACTAGCCCCTACGCCAAACTCTCCCTCTTTTCCTGGGGCTTGGAACTGGCTGGAAAAATAGCGAGCTAGTAAACTAGGTGAAGTTAACACCCAGAGAATACTGGAGAGTTGCTTTTTCCTAGTCTTGGACTACTCACTGGCAGTACGAACCCACCGGGATTGGAACCCGGTACCTTCCGTTTACAAGGCGCGCTCATAGATGGTTCAGCCACTGAGACCAAGAGAGCATGGAGTACTTCACAACTTCGCGTGTCGTCCTTGCGCAGAGACCATGCTAAACTTCTCTATATCGTTCCAGTTTAAGGATATGTGCCACGGAAGTGAAGTCTATGGGTCAAAAAATTGGCCTAAACGTCACGAAAAGCATTTCTAACAGGCTACTGCAGACTTCTATCAACACCTGCCACCTTCGCTGGCTCCATATTTCAAATTAAGTGGCTAGCGAGAAAGAATCAGCAACAAGAAACTATCAGAACAAAACAGCCTAGAATTCAATTGGTGGATAATGACTAGCAGTGAAATCCAGCATGTGCATTTCGTCCTATTTAGGACTCGTCACTGGATGTACCTGCATTCCGCAGGTACACCGAGGCTCGAACCCAGTGCTCATAGTTTCAAACGCCAGAGCGTTATCCACTAGACCACTTTGGCTACGAGAGCCGCCTCTTGTGCAACCGGTCATATTAATTATTCAATTCAATTTTAGACTTTCCCGTCGATTGATTAGACCGAAGTGCTCGGTCTCAGGTTGACATGTCGGCTTCTTGTGCAGATGCCTCGACAATGTACCAACAACCTATTGCTCAACAAATATCCCAAACGAAACGGAGAGGGATTTAACACACGCTGAAGAGACCGTCGAATGACATCACGCGCATTGCAGGCCATCGCTTGAGTGGAGCCCTAATGGGAAACCGACGAGTTGGGCGTGTTTCTGAGTGTGACATGGAGGAGGTCCCGTGAGTGGGAAATGAGAAATTTTGGGCAATCGTGGGGTCTAACTAAAGAGGACTCCAGAGGATAGGACAAAATGGAGGTGTACAGTTGGAGTTCTATAGTCCACACGGAAACACCCAAGGGGCTTTTTCACTTTATATCAGTATTTGTGTAAAAAATATAAACTAAACAAGCATTTTGTAATCATGCTGAAAAAATTAATCTGGTGCCCACCAGTGGGTGACTATATAAGACGCAGTTGCCTGCAGTGCTACAGAGTAGCCGTGACCAGTAGTAGGGTTCAACAGATCTGGTATGAGAACAATTACCCACCAATGACATTAGGTAGCGGTAGCGTTATACAATACAAATTCACAGAAATTAGAATTCAAGGGCCTTTGAATTCTTGCCCAGTAGTTGAATTGTCAACGCATTCGCCATATAACCTGAAGGTCATGGATTCGCTCTCCGATAGGGTGATAGGTGAAGAGTCTCAAACTAAGACGAAACATCCGTCTACTACCCCATACTGATACCAGTCTGTTACTAAACTCTAAATATAGAAGTAAGAAGACAATAATCCAGTAGACACTAATTGGGAAATCTGTTTTCTGTCTATTTCCATGAATCAGGGCTCAGATTCGACGAAAACAAGCTAACATGATAAATCCTAATCAGTTTCTAAGCTGAGTTCTGTGTAAATACTCTGGACGGTTATTATTCGCTTTCTAACTCAAATATTATTATGATTAATTTACAGTCTGCATATTATTTATTATCTGATCAATTGAATAGTCTTCTACAACTGGAACCAGACTGTTTGTCTTAAGACTGAGCAGTTATTGATGAGGATTCCTGGGCAACACCGACGGCAACAGACAACAATCAGCCGGCGTAAATAGGAGGAACCTGAAAGAAACAATCTCCTTTACCTACCCACCTGGGAAGAATCGTTTCAACTACAGGCGAACGGAACTGACGGGGATATCAAAGCAAGGATCATCGGGAAAGCAAGACAAGCCTTCATTACTCTCAAGTCGGTGTGGAGGTCAACAGCCCTCCTCAGCATGAAAAATGAGACCCGGATTTTCAACCCCAATGTGAAGTCAGTGCTACTATACAGATCAGAGACTTGGTGCATCATTAAGAGCATCTCAAACAAACTACAGACCTTTATCAACAGTTGTCTTCGCTCAGTACTCAAGATCAGATGGCCGACCAGGAAAGATCAGCAACAGGATCTCTGGCAATGAGCGAACCAACCAAGAACCGATTGTGCAACAAATAAGCATGGAGACATGGAGATGGATTAGCCATACACTGAGGAAACCATCAAGTGACATCACTAGACAAGCTCTCGAGTGGAACCTGATTGAAAGGGAAGCGGCGAGTTGTTCGTCGGTGCAAGGGTGATTTGGAGGACGTCATGTGAAAAGAAGATGAAAGCATGTGGGTAGACGTGGAGCCAGGTGAAAACTCTAGCAGAGAGCCGAACGCAATGGAGTCGTCGGGCTGAAGCCTTATGTTCCTCTAGGAATTAAAGGAAATAATAATAATGACTATTATTATTATTGATAACGCAAAACTAAGAAGACTCGTAATACATAAAGTCAATTTCTTTCAAACCCAATGAGTGATATTCTGGAATCTATACAGCAGAACACAGTGCACTAAAATACTTAAACCCAATAGGATACACGTATCAATACAACATTTATTCATTCAGTGAACTGAAGTTCCAAACAATGGCCTAAAAACTCACCCGTATATCTTGCGTACTAAAAAATCGTAATGGATCCAGATTATTTGAAATACACGCACGCTCCTCAACTTCAGTTTCTGCATCAGCATCATCTTCATCAGAGATCAAGTCATCTTGAGGCGTTGATATACCACCACTACCACCACCAACAACATCCTTTGAACGCGATCGACTGAGTAGATTTTTTTGAGCTAAAAACTGGAAATGACTACCAGCCCGCTTACGCTGTGATGCACTACTATTCTCCCCAGCATGACTGCTACTATTCCCATCACTTTCTTCATCATCTGAATATACGTTGTCATCACTTCCAGCTCTTGCCAACCTCTCCCCAGTCAACAGCCGTTCAAATGCCCAACGTAAAACACCAAAGGCTAGATATTCACTAGACGGTTCTTGACATTTGCCTTCGCCTTGGTCTTCTGATGATGATGAATTAAAATTCCCCGTAAGGTTGACTATAAGACGAGCACTGAGAATACCTGTTTGAGAGCAGGCTATTTTATCCGCTTCTGTTAACAGATAGTGATGCAGAGATTTGGCTAAGCAGATTTCAGATAGGCAAAGTTCATCACTATCAGTGTATTCATTGCTTTTTGTATAAAGTCCATTGAATTGAACAAAACGACAAAGAACTATAGGAGAGAAATAGTAAGACATACACATACAAGTTAAATAAATTCGTTTACAAAACACTTTTTTATGCTGGTTCTGTCATAAATGTAATTATCTAAAAACTTCAACTGAAATTTGACTCAAAAATACACAAAATGTTACTTTACAGCCTCTTGCAGATTCATACAATGTAAGAGCCAGCTAATGATACTACCTGACTGTCCAAACCTCAGTAAGTGTGGCGGGATTCGAACCCACGACCCACTTGGTTGTAAGTTGAATACCTACACCAATGAGCATGGAGCACTAGCTCAAATGGTAGGGCACTTGCTTATCATGCCAAGAGTACTGAGATCAACTCCCAGATACTCGAAAATATATTGTTGGCAAAGTTCAACAATAGAGAGAGTCTCAAGACATAAGAATGCACGAGTGACCTTCAGCCGACCAATCAAGAAAATGAGAAACTTTTGCGCAAAAATTGCGGTATGTGTACAAGAAAATGCGTGAAAACACATTAACACAGGGTATCTTTCTCTGACATGACTTAAAAATGTGTCCTAGTTATAATGACGACTATCAGTTGCTAAGTTAGAGCAGTTTCTGTACATGTATTCACCGAGGTGTCTGAAGATAAGCTGTCTTTGTGAATCGTTTATCTCTCTTTTCGTGTTGTGCCGTTTTCCACAGAAGCCTTCGGTTGGATTACTATGGTTACCAGTAAGAGGATCGATAACTACTTACCAGGAAAATGTGGATAATAAAACAAATAAAAACAAATAACATCAACTCTAAATCGATCCCTAATCGTAACCCTAAACTTAACACTAGTACTAATCTTGTCCAAACAGTACTTAAAAACGTGATCCAGGTGAAATTTCCTCCTTAGTTGAAGTGAACAGCATTGATATTTCAGCTTTGATAATGACAAGTGTTTTTAGCCAACGACTAGGGAGACAAGTCTTCCTGTGATAATCACAGAGGGATTAGCTTGACTAATATAGTATCTAAAGTCTTAGGCTCAATAATCATGCGTAGACTAAGTGGTGCTCGGGAGGCACAAACACGAGAGAGCCAGTTAGGCTTTAGACCAGGAAGAGGGTGTATTGATCATATCTTCACCCTCCGACAGATTCTAGAACATAGGAATTCCTACCGGCGTCCAACAGTCATTATATTTCTTGACCTAAAGGCAGCATTCGACTCTGTCGACCGAGAAGTTCTCTGGAGATGCTTGGCTGTAAAGGGAATTCCGAGAAAATATATTGCACTGATTAAGGCACTCTACTCGTACTCATACAGCCAGGTGAGGGCTTACGGCGAGCTGTCATCTGAACTGGTGACGACCAGTGGTGTCCGTCAAGGATGCCCATTATCTCCTTTTCTATTCAACTTCATCATAGATGTGTTAATGGACTTAACCCTAAGTGACTTCAGCGACTCAGGGATTGACTTGCTACCAGGGAATAATCTCGTTGACTTGGAATATGCAGACGATGTAGTCCTTCTAGGCGAAGACGCTGACGAAATGCAGAGTCTTCTAAACACCTTGAGCCGCAATCTACGAATGTTTGGCATGTGATTCGCTCCCGCCAAATGCAAGATGATGTTACAGGACTGACTGGACTACATCGACGCCTAGTTTAAAAATAGGAAGTGAAGTGGTAGAGCACGTTGACCGCTTCACTTATTTGGGAAGTACCATCAGCCCCAACGGGCTGACTGGAGGCCTCAACGATGAGAAAGTCTGTCTACAGAATTACAAACACACAACACACACACACACAAAGCTGATCTATATTGTAATAGCCAAAGAGATTCTGAGAGTCAAATTAACCCCTTTAGAAAAGTTGCATACTCCCATAATATTGATATGGAGCGACTAAAACTAGGCTGAAGAGGCTTAAACTATTCTAAATCGATTAAACCATTGGCCCGAGACAGAATATTTATTATAATGCGATTGGACAACCTAGAAGAAGCGCGACCATTCCAATCGATAATACTTGGTTATTTGTTGATTTATATTTGATAACCTTGATAATATTTACATACAATGCATTTTTGTATAACAAATCGAACTGTTCTCACCGACATAAACTAGCCTTGTCTTCTGTCCTTGAAAGTGGAAGACATGAAAAGGCTAGTTGACATTGACTAAAAATATTCGCGATCTATCCCCCGTGTAAATAGGTATATAATATGGCGAGTAATATTGACGTTAGGCATAGAATGCCAGCTAGGGAAAGGAAGTTAAACGATGAGGCTGTGGAGCTACATCGATTAGGATGATTGGGACACGTGTTACGCATGCCGAGTCACTGTCTTCCCAGACGGGTAATTTTAGCCGACAAAGGATTAGGTTGGAAAAGAGTTAGGATTTGTCCGACAAGAACCTGGCATCAATCCATGAAGTCTTTGACAGCTGGTATGAGTCACATAGGGAGGTAAGTAGGTAGGTATAGGCCCTAGAGATACCAAGAACTATTACTGAATACAGACAACTGGTGATATGGCTGAGAATCGTTCACGATGGCGCAGATACATTCACTCTCTCTCTCTCTCTCTGTGATCCCTCATATCCACTAAGCAGTCCTGTTTCTTCCTTCCCTACCTTTTTGCTTAATATAATTCCTTTAGATCTCGTTGTTTTCTTTATTTTGTCTAAGTTTTTATGTGACATGAAGTGTGGCAATTAGAACTGCTGCACTGCTTGTACAAAGTCCTACCACTGAAACTCAGTCAGTCGGTATTTTTATATCAACAAAGATATGACAGATATCTTTGCAAAGTAACAACAATAATGATTTGCTTTATTCCAAAACAGCACTTAGGATGGATGATCATATTATAGGATTGATAATAGCAGCTTTTTCGGTACTTATAGTGACAATAAATTCGGAAGTGTACAAAAAGTGTATATTAGCTGAGATAATGTCACCATAAATTATAAGTAGGAGAGAACAAAAGGGTCAGTTATTTTTCTAATAGCTTATTAAGTCGTAGGTCTCGCGTTTAACACGATCTCTATCACATAGAACGCGAGCTGGCTAAGTAGGGTATCGTCGAGTTTTTATACTAGGTAATATGAACATATCATCTTTTATAATGAGTTCTAGTCCTAACTGATGAGATGTAGCAGGGGAATAGTTGAGAACAGAAGGGATGCTGAGAGTCAGACAATATGGATTTGCCCCATTCGTGACATCAGTTGAAGTGTCTATCGACTACAGTAAGTAACAAGCTGCCTAAGTGGCACACCACTAGCCCTAATGAAAACCTTTAAATATCCTACGCAATATGACAGTTATTTCTGAATAGCCCAGGTAAGACTGAGGGGAAGCAGTAAAGTGTAACAGACGAGATACAAAAGTTGACAAAATGTAAAAGGGGAGGTGTAAGTGATTGTAGATTACCTTAACTTCTTAATGTAGTAGGTTAGACGGAATATTTTCTTAGAAATTGACAAGATGTAGGGTGACAAAGAGAGGTCAGAGGATAGAACTATTCCAAGGTATTTTATACTTACTTCGCATTTTACAAATCTATGTCGCCCCAGTGGCTAAATGGTCTACGAGCTAGCCCGCCTTGTAATCAGAAAGTCCCAGGTTCGAACCCCTATGATGGGTGCCTACCGATAAAGAGTCCCAAGCACTAGGACGAAACCACTGTCCAGTACTCCCAGGTTTTGCATGCATCGGTGGCACAGAGATGGATTGCTTGCTAACCACACCTCAATTACTTCAGGGTTCGATCCCCGGGCGCCGACTCACTCCCAAACCTCGCTAAGCCAGGATTAAGACTGGTAAAGAGGGAATGTTGGTGGTCATGAGGCTAACAACCCCATCCCTTAGAAATAATCACCACTGATACCGAAAATTCAAGCCTCCAGCTTGAAGCCCTATACTCCATTGGGAACGTAAAGCATTAAAGCAAAAATCAGAGTGATTCTCACTCTCGAGGTTTTGAGTGATGTGTAGCAAGCCACAACATATTTACCAAGGCATTTTACATGCCATACAAAAACCGTGTTTTTGATGAAGATAAATATAGAAAAAGGGAGTATAGTAGATGATATTTTTTCGTAAGTCAAATATTTCTAATAACACACATATAATATTAAATGCAGTTGTTAAGCAGGTGATTTATCATAACTTCAGCTGCAATTGTGTGTACCCACATCTTTATCTATTTGTCATTGTAAAGCCTACTTTGACAGACACGAATTTGAGACATTCTAATAATAATAATAGTTATACACGCCTACAAATGAAAAAAATAGTGACACATAGAGAGAGACAGAGAATTCTTCACAACTGTTTCCTGTATTGAACATCATGCAGAAGAAAAGAAGAAAAAACAATCTGATCACATATCTCAGGAGCTGAATAACGTATTCATTATTTTTGGACTATTGCTCTAGTTAGTGATGCAAAAACACCATATTCATTTTCCATCACTTTGTAGATGTCTGATATACATTTTGCGCTATTTTTATACAACATTAGATACAAACGTGTCTAGATTTACTTTAATAAGCATATACCGATATTCAGAAGAGAAAAATTGTTAGAGGGAACAACTGTGGATTTCACAAAATAAATTCTTCTCCTTCTTCAGGCTCTACAATTAAGTATAAATCCAGTAATTTATGCAATACAATACCCGCCAACCAGTAAAGGCAAATTACAATCATATCAGAAATGTGTATTGTTCAACAAGTATAAGTAAGTAAGTATGGACGGGATGGAACAATAGTCAGTTAGTTTTTCAATATGCACGGTCAATGACAATATGAGATCAAATGAGATGAAATAATTTAATGATATAAGAGCATATATATATATAGTCAACAAAAGTACAAATTTCGAAGGTAAATGTATACGCTGGTGTGGGTGGCAATATGAATACCACAGAAAATAAACCAACGAACAGGGTGGACTAGACATAAGTTCAAGGATGAAAATAACGACAATAATAATGATTGTGATGTAAACAAACATAAAAGTACTATTGGTGA